GATCGCGTCGCATGTGGACTGCGCCCTTGGGCGCGTTCCACCCCCAGCTGATGGCGGCGACGGCGATGCTGGAGAAGCTGCAGAAGTACTTCAACGCGCTAAATGAGGCTGTGTTGGGCAAGAGGCTAGGCGCAGCGCCTTTCAGCATGATTGCCGGCCACCTCGCTCCGGAGTTGCGGACTATTCCAACGAGGGAGCAGATGTCTGACACGTTGGCGCAATCGGCAGAGGAAATCATACTTTCCCATGTTTCGGCGTTGTCTCACACGGGTTCTGTTGCCGATAGGCAGCAGATCCTTGGGAGAGATGGCAACCCGTTCGGGAAGTCGTGGTTTGAGGATGAGCCTGGTGGAGCTACCTGGCCTGGACATCACATGGCTGGTGGCGTTGCTGTTCCCCTGAAGCCGAAGACGAAGCTTGTATGGGGAAAGCGACCAGATATCGACCACGGAGGGACGAGGATCGAGATCGTCGGAGAGACGATTGTCGGGATCATCGGGATGATGATTCGCTGGAACGCGACAGAGATCGACGGAGAGATGATCGCAGGAGATCCGAGAGGGATCGCGACAGGGACCATGCGCGGGGCGGACGTGACCGGAGGAGGCGTGATGATAGCCGGTAGGCTAATTCACGAGGGTTGCGGCCGGTAGGCTTGCACCCGCCCTCCAATGGTCAACGCTGCGGGGTGATGATCACGTTCATCCTGCACCGCTGAGGCGTGTTGTCCATGCCTCTCCTGTACCGCTGATCTGCTGCTGGTGATGGTCACCAAGAAGTAGTGTGAGTGAGCGGGGAAGCAAACCAGTGGAGGGTACTACCAGGTTTGCAAAGTTAGTATTCTATTTCAAGTATGCATGGTCAGGTGTACCTCTCGCCGATAGGCAAGGGTACAGATTGGACAAATGATATCCTTTTTCATGGCTTCTGATAAGAATTAAACTTCTTGCATTTCTGATGCAAACAGTTGTGACCTATTGTCGTCATGTGGACTTTTCCACAAGGTATGTTGGACAGCGTTACCCCGATTAATTCGGGGTGGTGGCGGGAATTTAATGCCCGGGATGTCGCGCGACTGCCTTTGTGGGTTTGCTCCACCGCTGACGGCGGTAGTGTCCAGCTGTTTGCGGACGTATGCGAGCAGTTAAATCCTATCAGTAAATGGCACGCTCCACCCGTCATATGACGGGCTCCTCGTGAGGGGGGTGTGATTAGCCATGGTTTATTTCATCACCAGGGATGTCGCGGTAGTGACTGACCTGTGGTGTTTGGCTCAAGTTTTGGGTTCCGTCGCGCCTCGAATGGGCGTCGCCGAACCCCTGCGTCGACCGACGGCATCTCGGGGGAGAAAGAGACCTCGGGCCGCCGCCAGGTTGGTAGGGACCAGTCGTGCGGCCTGTTGTCGACCAAGGTTGCGGGTTAACCCTTTTCTTGTTTGGTTTGTTTTCCTTTGGTTGTTGTTCTCTGGTGTGTGGGAAACCCTGATCTTTGGGACCGGGGATTGGTTTGCTTTTGGGGAACCTTTCTTTTGTGGCTTGTTTACCCCAACTTACCCATTGCCTGGGCACAGGCTCGTGCCCGAATCACATATAGGTAACTTAAATCACTAGGTCACCTTCCCAATTGTTCAGGTCCCAAACCAGGCTTGATACTGCTGCTCTCTTCCATTCTTTTTGCTCCACGGAGTTTCTGGACGTTACACTTTGTGGTAAACACAAAGTCTATATTTGTTGCTCGCCAATTCAGAAAATGAGGATTAAGGGAACACTATGCAGGAAGGAAGCCACATACCGTACCCACCAAATACCGGGGTTTTGAGCAGTTCTAGAGGTTCCTGGTGGTTTCTCAGAGATTGTTCCAATCCAGCCACAAGTTGGGTGCACTTGGCGCCTTGCAACGGAAGGGCCAGGCTCCCGAGCCCCCCAGCTCACTCGATGGCACCAAATTTTGGGCTTGTGGGCCTCTCCCTATGTGAGGGCCCTCAAGGAGAGGGTTGCTTTGAGAAACCGTCTCCAGGAAATTCTCCAAGCTCTCCGGGAAGTCAGCCAAAGCTCCCACGGAAACCAGGGGTTTAGGCTAGCCTCTTGGAACAAATCCTGGAGATCCTGGAGATGGATTCTTAGCTTGTCGCAAGTTAGCACGATCCAGCGAACATGATTGGCCGATGCTTGCCTGCAAAAAGTGTCGACCGATGCATGCAGAGATGCAGTCAGACGGACGGATGTCGACATTTACGTTCTGTTGTCTCCGTTAGGTTGTTTGCCGTAAAAGCCATTGGACCCTCCATTGGATGGGTCTGGATTTTCAGTGAAAGGTAGTTGCACCTGAATTGCAGCTAAAACGCCTATTTCGGCTCCCAACGATCCCTGCCACATGGAACTTTGGATCGCCACTGAAACGGTCCAACTTGTGGTGACTGGCAACGTGCTCGGGGCATGGTCGAACTGGCTCCGTGACACCCATCATTTGTTATTTGCAAACATGTTGCTTTGAACATGCGCACAGCAAACACCGCGTGCTTTTTCCTGAGCGCCCGTAGATGCAAGTTTTTGCCAGCTTCAGATTTCCATGCCGGTTCACTACACTCTGCGTCAAACACATGTCCTTCAAACCGAGCCGTTGTTATGGCTCCTGGGCTAGAGTGATCTTCCGATGGCCGGTAGAAAGACCTGATCTTCAACATGAAAAGGGAAGAATTATGGATCGGTGCGATGCTGTGATAGAGTGTTTCTGCCTAGACCTGACGCTTGGTTGACCAGGGGATTCCCCAAGCTCCAGTCGGCTCCAGTGAAAGGGGCGCGTGGTTTCAGGGCGTACTTTGCACGCTTTGCAAAGCAGTGACGAGCCAACGTACATGCATTGCGCCTTTTGCGCTAAGATACTTTCCACTGCTCCCAAACTACTACGCCCAAGGGAAAGCTGGATGCCCAAGTACTCTTGCAGCCAACTATACCAATAGAGCCGGCAAAGCCGGTGGTCGAAGGTTTCAGATAAGAAAAAGAAACAGACAATAGGTATCGTTATCGTTCTCTTCTTATTTCCTGTTCTCATCTTGCTGTTTTTCAACGGTATTTGTGTCCTTTCTGTTTTATTATGTTTTTTGCTTTCTAAATTACTGTATTTATTTGTTTCATTATGTATGATCTTTCTGTTATTTCCTTCTTCTACCTACGTATCTATCTCCTTGCGAAAGTGCTGCGCCTGCACAAAATATATCCCTCTCTCTCTCTATTCATCTATCTGGCTAGCCAGCGAGCTATCAATCAATCAACCTATCTATCTATCCATCTGTCTATCCACCTACCCATCTATCCCTCCATTTATCTATATCGAGCAAGCAAGCCAGCCAGCCAGCAAGCAGGCAATCAACCAACCAACCAACCAACCAATCAATCAATCAATCAATCAATCAATCAATCAATCAATCAATCAATCAATCAATCAATCAAATATGTGTCTATCTATATCGCTATCTATCTATCTCTATCTATATCTATATATTATCTATCTATGTCTATCTATGTATATATATGCATATATGATACATACATCCGTCCGTCCGTCCGTCCGTCCGTTCATCTATCTATGTATCTATCTATTTATCTATCTATATGATTCGCTCTATCTATTTATGCACTCGACCTATCTACCGATCAGTCTATCCAACTACCTATCTATCATGTATATATATATATGCATATATGATACATACATACCTGGATATTCCAAAGTGTGATTTGTGTATGATTATTTTTTTGTGAAAAGCTGCTCTTTCAGACAAACAACACTTTTGTGTGTCTCCAAGCACTTTTGACTTTGTTGCTCTTGTGGGACAAATCCATGAAGGCGAAACGACGACAATACCCGATCAAACGGCGACTTTCCCCGGCCATGTTTCCAGACAAATTTGAAACCACACGTTTGCAGTGAAAAAGCGTATGTTCGACCAAGCACTGAAATTTATGCTTTTTCAGCAAACGACGGCAAACATGAACACCTGAAGATTCAGGTATATCTTCTATCTACTACCTATCAATGCATCTATATTTCCTTCTATCTGCCATAACTATCTCATCTATCTTATCTCTATCTATCCTACCTATCCATCTAGCAATGTATCCGTTTGTTTGTTTGCCTATCTATCTAGCTAACTATCTAGCTATCTAGCTGTCTAATCTATCTCTCTGTGTAACTTTATATTTGTCTACGTATCTATTTATCTCTATCAAACTGCGCATGATCGGCGACAGCGCAACGAAATCTGGACCTGATCTGAAAGTGCTGCGCCCGCCACGAAAGCTGTACCCGATCTTTCGAAAGCGCTGTGCTTGTCACTCAAACTAATGTTGCGAAAAGCGCAGCTCCTAAAAGTGCGGCTCCGAACGCGCTGCAACCAGCGACCAGGCGGCGGAGGTTTGCGCTTTTGGACATGTCCATTCCCCTCCCACACGCGCACACATTGTGTTGCTCGTCCTATTCTTCTCTTGCCTTCTGTCAAGCGCTAGCTTTCAATTAGTTTCGGTACCACGGGAGTTCCTTCTAAGCTTGCTCTGCTGAAGTCATTGTTGCCTCACCGGGCATCCACATTCTGGACGTCGCGCTTCTTTGGAAATCTGGAGTCTCCAAGAGTTTGGACAATGCGAGTGATCCTAAGTTACGGCTGCAACATTCCATACAGGCCATGACTCGTGGAAGATCCACGCCCCCCCTCCTTCCCCGGACCTGAGTGCCTTATTTGGAGCTCACTGAGTTTGGTGGAACGAAGGAGGGCTTTGGGTTGGGGCCCCATGGGCTGCCAAGCATGGGAAGCCATGCTAGGCAGCCCCTGAAGGCCCTGAAGCACCGTTATTGCCCTTGGCTAAACCGCTGAGCAAAGAACACCTGTTTAAGGCGCTTGGGCTTGGTTTAGGGCTGAACGTTGACCAAGCATAGGCAACCAACAAAAACAGAAGACACCACGGGCATAGGACAAACATGGGGAAACCTCGAAACGCTCCGAGGTCTGAAGCCTCCGGGCGGAACCTGGCCATGGCGGTCTGGGGCTTTGCTGCTGCAGGCGAATCGGTCGGCAAAGACCATGCGAGGTCGGGGGTGGAGCCAGGGGTTTCTCAAAATGGCGTGTCTTTGGGTTTCCTTTTGGTACCAAGGAAATAGTTAAAGGGGATACAGCATTTTTGAGATCCCCACATGAGGAAACCGTGGGCGGTTACAATATTTGTTAATATGCTGAACGACCGTATTTGATTCACCGCCTTTGGAAGACTACTTACTTTCCTTTTGGTGGCTTGTGCGCTTGCACTTTTGGCAAAAGGGTACCGACTCCGAAAAAGACGGCCAGGGTTGGGCAACATGTGTTTCAACAACCAGACCCTCCGCCTTTGAAAGGGCAATCAAAGGAGGTTGTTTGGCCATGGGTCAAAATCCCGTACCCCCAGTGAACATCCCAATCTCCACTAAAGTCGGTTCTAAATTGGTTGGTGCACCTACCCTCAAATGGAATCCCATTGGTTTTGACCCACAGCTGCTTAAGCCGCAGGTTTTCCAACATGTTCAAACAGGTGGGCCCAGCCCTGCTACCAGCTCCGCCGACTCCACTTCCGCAGGCTCCCGTGATGTGCCGCTGCTGTCCGCCACCTGCGGCAGCCGGGGGTCCCGAGTGCTGAGCGAGTTTTCACGAGACCTGGGCTAGCCCACAGGAAACTCCCACCCCCTGTCAGGATGCTTCCAAAATTCCCTGATGGGAGCGGATGAATTCGTCGGGTCGTTGCCCATGTGTAGCAACTTACTCCAACTTTCACCGTTTTATGCTTTAGAGGAGAACCTGAAAGGGCGTGTTGAGGATGAGATCCATTGCAGAGAATACCCCTCAAGCGAGTTTATTCAGAACTGCAAAGGGGCGATTTGGGCCTGGAGCCCTTTGGATACCTGATGCTACTTCCCAGCAAGGGACTGGCTTTGGCCGCATGGCCCTTTTGGGACACTGAGCAGGTCCCAGTGAAAGTGAATGAGTGCTTGACCTTCAGGCTTTCCGTTTTTTGTCTATTCATGTTCAGGTTCAGAGCGATGAATCGTTTGGATGCGCCATTTTTGGGGCGGGTGCAAAGGCAAAATGGAACAGCACCAATTTTGAGGGTCCCCTATGTTTCATATTGTGCGGCAAACCCGCTTGTTTCCTGGTGCTTACTTAAAGTTAACGTCACCTTTGCCCTCGCACGAACACGGAAATGCAGAGGCCCTTGGCAAAAGGGACCCAACTTTTCAAGTGTTTAAGGCTACCCTTCTGGCGGGGCAAGTGGAAGCGACCCCCGCCCCCCAATTTCAGGTCACCCTTGTTGGTGTGACTTGGTGGATTGGGCTTGCACGTTTGCTTCTTGTACGGGGTAAACGGCAAATTCCCAAGCTCCAGTCACCAACACCGCCCGCAGTGCCGTGATCCCATTGATCCTTCCCCCAGGTTAGAGGGAAGCGATGAGACGAGCTGAGGCTTGGAACAGCTCTCGATTCAGGACCTGGTCAACAGAGGTGGGCCAGAACGCATCTACGCGTATATTAGTATTTAATATGTGTGAAAATAGCTCCCCCCCCCCTCCCCTCACAAAAATCATGTGGCTCAGGTGACAGCCCCAACTGCAGGCATCGCCAGAACGCGGAACCGCCACACACACTTTCCCTGAACCCTTCTCAAGGCTTTGGATGGCCACCATGTGGTTTGGCTGTGGGTCAACACCAATGGTACCATTTGGGGGTAGGTGCACCACCCATTTTAGAACCTATTTTAGTTCACTGGGGGTACGGGGTTTGGACCCACAGCCGTTGCCTGACAGGACCATGACGACCTTCTGGCCGTAGTGGGCAAGTCAGCAACCAGTTACAGGGTTCAGATATTCGAGGAGCATGGCTCCACCTCCTTTTGGGCGGTCGGCCCCCAGAAAAATTGCCTCGTGTTGTATCCCTTTTCTCCGAAAGGACAACTCGTCCTTCTGTCTATGATAGCTTCCCCCATTCTTTCCACCAATTCCTTCTTTCCAGTACACCACCAAAATCTCCGAACGCAACAGCAGCTGGATTCAGAACAAAACACCCTTTTTCTTTACTCTTCTTTGCTGCTTTTAAGGCTTTAGTTTTTGCTGCTACACCCCAAAGCTTTGTCAAGTGATGGTTCCTCCGGGTTTGATCACGGCGAGCCCCCCCCGAACTGCGTTTCGGCAGGCCGGGCCCGTGGCACCTCGCAGCACTGGGCCCCCGAGCTCGGCAGGGCGCTGGCGCTCGCCAAGGCACATAGATCTGGAGCCGTCGGTTTATCGTTGCAGTCAGTCTGTCAAAAGTCCTGGTACTCTCCTAGAGTTTAACATAGACACCACCCACCATTTTCGGGGATCGGAATCTGGGATTCGGACCACTTTTGGGGTTCCAGGTTAATTTGTAAGGGTGTGGATGAAGGGTAGTGAGAGACAATCCCATCCACCCTTTTAAGGCAAGTGTTCATTCTCACTTACATGGGCAACAGTTGCTCGCCGCCTTACGCCTCCTTGCGTTTCATGCGTACGCCGCGCCCGCGAGGTTTGGGAGTGCGACAGTCAGCACCTCTCGTGCGGCACTGAGTAGCCATCGGGCGAGCTCAAGGGTCCTCCGAAAAGGAGAAGCTTGTTTGTGACGACATCAGGAGTTGTTGTTGTGTTTCTTCTTTGCGTGTGTTTTAGCCCCTGCTTTGTTGCCAGTACAGCCAAACTTGTTGTTTTTTGCCGATAGGCATGCTGATCTTTCGGGTGTCACTAGAAGCCGTGCACAATTCCCTTCGTCCACACCTATTTGGAGTCTTCAGTTAGGCATGAGTGGGCCACTCAAATCCAAAGCTTGTTTGAGTAGGTCATCCACGTACTCTCCCCTGTTTATGTTTTTCAGATTAGACATATAGTTTTTTGATGGCATGTGTCACTGAGAGTTCGGATTGCAGACAGCTTCTCGCCGTGATTTGCCATAGGTTAGGGCATACCATGTTTCATGATTCGCATGCATACTGACACGCCTGCTTTGAAGGGAGCCCGACTCGTCCGCCTCAGACCCAAGGAACATCGCCTGAAGACGCGCCACCGTGCAGCTCATCGACAAACCGGCCCGGAGCGTCTGGGACGGGCGGCTTTTCGGCTCGGACGAAAGCCAATGCGAACCCACACAGTCCATGGTCTTTTGTGTTGTCTGAGGGCTGGGGGGCCTTTCGTGGGGATAGATTCAAAGGGAAACTGGAGGGAAACCGCCTTTTCGGGGAGTCACGTAGATAGACACACACGCACACACACACACACACACACCCATGTAGGAAATACACGCCACCATTTGACGCGAGGGTGGATGGGTGTTGGTCATCAACCTTTTAGTAGGGGCTTTGGACAACCAGCATAGCAGTTTCTGTCGGAGCCATGACCATGAGCTATAAGGATTGACCATGGCGCGAATGAGCCCCAGACAAAGTTGTTCTCCAAGAGGATGTGGGAATTTTGGGTGGTCTTAACCCCTGGTGTTTTGTGTTTGATTCTTAGGTGGGCCCCATGTCTTTCCCAAGCTGACACTACCCACCATTTTGTCAGTTGCTCAATTGCCCTTTGTCCAGCAATCAGGGAAGTTGGCAAGGGGCTGTTTCAAGAGCATGGCAATTTTGCAAAGTCCTGCTACTTCCAACATTGGAACGAGGTACATATATGTACTGGTCTGTATGTGTCATGCCCACCAGACCTATTAAGAAATGGATTGTCACCAACAAATTTAGGGATTTCAGCTAACCAACAACTGCAAGGATTCCCAGGAAAGAGTCCGTGGGAGCTTTGACCGTAACACGCGTGATGTTGGCTGATGTATTTCCAAAGCATAAGCCTGTTGCGTATGATCATGCCGAACTATATGCCAACAAGAAGCTACAATTGATCTCCAAGTGTCGCCACACCAACAGAAACCAGCGGTTCAACTCGAACACGCAGCGCACGAGAAGCGCAAGCCGCAACCACCTTCCGGGGCCCAGCATGTAACCAGACAAGACGCGAAACGATCAATATTTGCAAAGCAAGCTTGATGCGATTCTTGTGGTTCCATCTATTTTTGCTTCGAGTGGTCCCAAAACATGCAGACATGGAATCCCGGGATGCCACCCACTACTAAACACTGGGGGAAGTAACATGACCACCATGGTTTATGTAAGGCATTTCACAATCCAAATTGTGATTGTATACGTAGCAGAATTATGGTGAAATCTCGAACGACCGAGAATAAGTTATATATTGAATTAAATATTGAATTGAATTATTAAATATTGAATTACAAAACTATTTCATCGATCGCATGATTTTATTGCGTCGACTCAAAATAGAATATTACGAGGCAGGACTCGAGGCTCAGTATTCAAAGACTGGAAACTCTGATCGAGGGGGGGGGGGGCAATTTTCTGAAACCTATCAAGAATAAAATTTATCTGACGAATCTATCTATCTGAGTGAAGGAGAGGACTTTGCCGTCCTACATAAAATCTATACATTTTATTGGGGTTGAAGCCTTGAGGAGGGTGCAACGACCCGCTTGACTTCTGGGGTTGAAGCAAGAGATTCCTTTCGGGTGGAGTTGGTCCAAAGTTTGCAGATCCCAAAAAGGATCTTGGGGTCTTCCCAGAGCTATTTGGTATATTTGTAGGCAGACCATCCATACAGAATCAGAAAGTATCGTTTGGTGTTCCCCAGATGGGCCAAGTATTCGGGTCGACGCGCGAGCGAGCGAGCGAGCGAGTCAGGTCCTGCAGGCTGCTGCGGCAGAGCGACGGGATGCGGGGTGTCAGGACCCGGCCAATGGCCGGGACACCGAGCCGGTTGAAGGGACACCCCAAACCGATCTCCTCCAAAATGATGTTCTAACGGTAGGCTGGAGAACCAGAATCTGAAGATATATTGTACCCCACGGGCCAAGAAATGTCAGACCCCTGGGATTTGTTTACCCGGGGAGTTTCATCTAGATGTTGGTCAATTATTGTTTTTTGGGGGGGTTGAAGGCTAGGGTGAATGGACCTCTAAACGTGGTAAAGGGGCAACGTGGTAAAGGGGCATAAGCCTTAGTGAACCAAGCAAGGTCAAATGAGGTAAATAAAAGGTTAGATAAGCCCATCAGGGTTGTGGGTCGGGCTTTGTAAAGACGGTTGTAGGCATTGATAGACGTAGACGATTATAGGGCTTCCGAATCATGATCAAGACAAGGGTTTCAGGCTGGACAAAGCATACCAAAGTTGGGATGGTCCTATCTGAGCAGGCTATTCAGACTTGTCGTAGGGATGTTTGTCCAGTTTCTTTGAGCCCCCAGTTTTGGGACTTGGTGTGTAACACACATGACTCAACCCGAGAGTCGGGTGGGGGGGGAGGAATTTCACGGGAGAAATCAACATCAACGATCCAAGGTCCAACAGTTTGACACACATTCGTGGATGTTTGAGTTGGGTGGCTTTCAATATTACCCTTCTTGTTCGGTTTCTGGCTCAGCTTCTGCGCTTTCCCTTTGGCAATGCAGGATGTCGTTGCGGTAGCCGAAGGCATTGTTGCTCTGTGTCGAGACAAACACGCACGGGCGTGCCTTTAGATGGCAGGTAGCAGTGTTGGGCACCCTTTGTGGCATGGATTTGAATTCAAAGAGACATACAAAGTCAGCACCTTGGGCCCCTCAACGGTTCCTTGGAGTTTCAGCATGTCCTCGTGGTTGGAGAAGACGTAGCTGCCGTTTGTGCCAAAACACTGGGTTGGGCAAAACTGAATGGCCAAGTGCCAATTGTACTTGTTGGGTAGGCCACTCGATGGTTACCCACCACGTCTGTTTCCCCTTTTTTCTATTTAGGTTTCACGAAGGGTGTGGTCCAATGAACAGCGCCCAAACCCCCTTGGGCCGATAATGTTGGTGGTTCTACTACTTGGTTCAATTCCTAAATCCAATCCCTTTTTAGTGATGTTAGCCCAAGCTCCATGGGTTTGGGACAGAACTCAACTGGGTTCTCTGACGAGGCTACATGGGAAACCGCCCAACTCCACACCTCCAAGCCACTCCTCAAGAGCCATCGATCCCGGCCGCGAGGTGCGCAGGCCGCTGCCTCGGAGAGCATTTGAACCGATGATGAGGACGAATTTACTCTAGGGACCTGTTTGGGAGGACGTAAACCAGCCGCGTGATGTATACGTGATATGTATATATATATATATATACATATACACATGTACATTTGGTTTGGTAGATCGATAGATAGATAGAAATAAGATACATGTTGAAGAACTGACGCTGCAACTGTTTATGACTATTGTGACATATTCGATTGTGCTGTGGGGGAAATGCCAGCTTTTTGGGGAAGTCGATGCCATTTCCTTGCAGTATACGCATGATTGCGGAACCAGCTTCACTGGCAGTGAGAGTATGAAACAAGAGTGGGGCTGGGCCACTGGGTATCCTCCATATCAGCCTCCACTCGTCCACTTGGTGACTTGGATTGGCGGTTTTGGAGGTTTCCGGGTGTGGAACACTTTCCCTTATCAAGGGCAACCACGTTCAATTCGCTGAATCATCGACCCAAGCCACCCGTAAAAGGCAGTTTGAAGATATGCGAGTTGCAAGATTGGCCCGCAAACCCCGGCTTCAGGAAAGCAATCGAATTGAACAGATTTGTTGGTATTTTTGCAGATCACCCGACAAAGCCAATCCGACCGTGCAACAATAGAAAACCGCCCGCCTTAGTGCCCAATTGCATGAATTCCCTGCCCTAGTTGGCAGGTTAGCCGGCAAGCCTCAGTGTAGAAAGGACTTCCGAGATGCCAGAAATGTCAGCTGGGTCCTTTCAAGCAAAGAGTTTTGAGCCATTGGACAAACGGTTGGTTTACCGGCATTTGCCTTTTGTGTTGCCTTCTCAAGTGGTTGCCGAAAGAAGGGAACCTGTTTTCGACTCACCTCTCATTTGTGGGACTGCGGTACTTTTGGCAATCTCCTACTCACTATCCACTTTCATGTTGGCAATAGGATATGGACGAGGCTCAATCCTCAGAGTGCTTGGCCTGGTTTGCATTTGAGTTGACTCGCAGCTTAGGCCTTCGCAGCTACGGCTCGCCTGACACGTTTGTGGCCTGGCTGCGGACATGTTTTCAAATGAGTCCGGAGGATATCGCGCATGTTTTCTCGCTGCTAGGTCCCCAAATTCCGCTGAAGAGCGGACACATTTCCCCACATAACCTATAAACCCCAAAGACCCCTGGCCCGGGCGCGGCTTAGGCTTTCTTATGTGGTGCTCATTTGCAGGTTCCCCGGGGCCTTCCTTCAGCGGTGTAGTTTTGGGGTGTCTACTCGCACGGGAAGCTGCCAAGCACTGGCCGATGACACTTCTCCCGGATCTGTCTACGATGTGTGTTGCTGGCGGTGTTGGGCGACTTCCTTTTGGTTTCACTTAAAGGCCACCAGCGGCTTGTTGTCGAAACATGTTTAGTTGCGCAACCCTGGCCGCTGGCTGTGTCTTCACTTGAAAATTCTGTTCTGTCAAGGTTGCAGGTGATCCTGGCAGGTGGCAACACTGCACTTCCAGCTTAGCGGGCGCGAGCTTTGATTGTGGGATTGGCGCCTGGCCCCCAACAAGGGCCAGTTTGAGCCGACACGACTTCCCACCTTGAGGGGTTCTAACGGTTTGAGATACACCAAAAAGGCGCACATACTTACGTGGTTGCTCTTAGTAGGAAATGTGGAGTGATCTTTGCCACCCACTGGGTGGAAGAGGATTCAAGATGCATGCAACCGTATCGCCTTCTCCTTGAACAAGCATGTGAGGTGCCAGGTAGAAACTAATGGGGGAATTACCAGGCACTTGCCATCTCCCTTTGAGGCCAGGGAAGATGTGAAGCGCACATATGTGAGATGCCCACACCAAAAGTAAGTCAAAACCAAAAATGTTCAAGTGATTTTCACTGAGCTCATTGTTATTACTCTTCTTATGTTGTGTCAAAGTCAGAATCTGTTTGCCTTTAACCCACCACTTGGGTGACTTTGATAGTGGTAAGATACTGGGCCAGTGTTCGCTGGACTGTGCTGCAGGAAACTCCTCGATGGAAGCTTTGGCCAGGCGTTTCTGGGCCGTCCTCTCATGGAGTTCACCTGCCAGACTGCGCAGCGGAAGGCTGGGAAGAAGCCCTTGGGATTCCCTGGCCAGAAAAACGATCAGCTTAATGTAATCACCAGTGTTTACCTTTCAGGAATGTCTTTTCATGGGGTAACCGGTGGAAAACCGCTTGGATGACCGAGCGGTGAATGGGAACCTCAAATTTCGAAAGCCTGTGGCTCAGGCCGGGATGTTTGGATGACCAACGCCGTAATGGGAACCCAGAGTGTGCCATTTAAGAGAGACCCCTACCAATCCACTAGGTTGATTGAATCCAGCGGCGACACTAGTAAGGTGTGTGTTTGCCTTTGGAAAAAAGTGTGTCAGTAGGATAACATCCTAAGGATCCCGAGGTTATCATCTACTTTTTAGTTGTTATTCACTTCGTAAGCCCCTTGAGCAGGACATTGCCTTAACTGCAACCCACTGAGGCCGAGGTGACTAGCGCGTTGCAAGCTGGGGTGACTATTTTTCAGTTTGGACATTGTGAGAGATCATAGGAGACCCTTGCATCGCAAGTTTGAATGAGCTCCAGCAACCTCAAGTCCATGAGGGTCCTCTTACAAAATTGTGGATGGGGGGGGGTCGAAAGACCCTGACAAAAACCATCCATCCTATGGTGTCCTTTGCGGGAATTCCCTTCCGGTTCATTCCCAACACCAAGTCGAAGGTCACTCCCTTCGACGGGACGTGGGAAATCGACGGGATATGGCTCGTCTATGTTTTAACTGGTACCACCTGTTTGGTGGGTTTACAAGGGAAACCAAAGGGAATTATCCCCTGAAAGACATGTCCAAGTCAACGGGTCTTTCAACTTCAACCTGAAGCATGGCAGAGCCGGTTCTGCTAGCGCCAACAGCTATCATCTCCCAAAGGTTGGTGTTGCCTTTTGTTGGCTCGTGTTCCGTAAAGGTTAGCCTTTGTATTTCCAGGTGCGGACTGTTGGGGCACAAACGGATTAAACACCTGGACCCTGGTGCGCTTTTCCGTTGGCTGTTTTGACGCCAACCCTGGCTTGCTTGTCTCAGTGTTTTGCTCGTTCTGTTCTGTTGTTTCCGTTAAAGTGAAGCCAACAAGGAGGTTTTTCAATCAAGGTGTGTGTAAACAACAAGGCCATGGCCCGAAACTGGCCGTGGTTCGGAGTCGTGAGTACTTCAAGAGAGTCTGGGATTCATGTTTTTGTGTGGACAACCATCAGTTTTTCGGGCCCCCTATTTTAAGACACAATGGGGAAGACGAACAAGCTGACTTGGGTCAGGTGAATTTGGGGTGATTCTTTTCCATGTGCTATTGGGGCTGGAACAGTGGAACGTGGGCCAACTTGGTGAACTGCTTGGGGAGCCATCCTGTTGAAACGGGGTCTGTACTCTCACCTGTGAAAGTCGTTGCGTTTGGTTTTGGCAGCATGTTTTTCGTGTAATACGCACACGAAACGCATCCGGTAGGGTCGTTGCAACTCCGTGTGCCAGTGGCGTTTAGTTTAGCATGTTTTCAAGAGACAATTGCTGCGTGATATTGTGGTCTTTTTTGTAGAGAAATACATGCTGAACGTGGTCCCCTGAGATGGTTTCATTGATCAAGTTGAGGTCTTTTGGGTAGGCCGAACGCACTGGCACACATGGAAAACACCTTCCCTCGATCGCGGTTTGTGTTGGTGATGTTGAGGCATTTTGGGTGGCCAATCGCATTGGCACACGCCTGAAAAAACACTTACTGGGTCCTTGTGGTTACACACCCCGCAAGCCATGATCTCGCGCCGCAAGCAGTGTGCCAGTGGGGAAAGCTATTTAGGGTCATGATCATGCTGTCTTTTATGATGTGTGGCATGAAGCCATTTTGAATCAAATTGCATGGGTACACTCGTTTCACTTAGATGTTGCTGACGATGCAAGTGCTACCCCAGCCCCCCACCGTACACAAAGCCAAGTGTCTGGTGTGCCATGGGGGACCAGATGCTTTGAGGAGTGTTTGGTGAAGGGGCGCTGTTGCACGTTGAGGCCCACTCCCGTCACAAAACGCAATGGCACACTGCCTCCGGCCAAGATAATGAGAAGATTTAGTCAACTAACACATGGGAGTCTGGTTCCTTGTGTTGTTCAGCTGTGTGCCAGTAGGATTCGAGGTGATAGAAGTTGCAGGCTTAGATGTTGCTGGCGACGCAAGTGCTACCCCAGCCCCCCACTGTACACAAAGCCAAGTGTCTGGTGTGCCATGGGGGGCCGGATACTTTGAGGAGTGTTTGGCGAAGTGCGCTGTTGAATGTTGAGGCCCACCCCCATCACAAAACGCAATGGCACACTGCCTCTGGCCAAGATAATGAGAAGGTTCAGTCAACTAACACATGAATCGCATTGGCACACGCAGTCATCCTCAACAAGATTCCTAGAACAGCTTGCGTTGTTGAAGCTGGGGCTTTGCGAGGCCAATCGCATTGGCACAATCAATCATCCTCAACAAGATTCCTAGAACAGCTTGCGTTGTTGAAGCTGGGGCTTTGGGAGGCCAACCGCCTTGGCACACGCAATCATCCTCAACAAGATTCCTAGAACAGCTTGCGTTGTGGAAGCCGGGGCTTCGGGTGGCCAATCGCACTGGTGCACGCAATCATCCTCAACAAGATTCCTAGAACAGCTTGCGTTGTTGAAGCTGGGGCTTTGTGAGGCCATTCGCATTGGCACACGCAATCATCCTCAACAAGATTCCTAGAACAGCTCGCGTTGTTGAAGCTGGGGCTTTGGAAGGCCAAGCGCGTTGGCGCACGCAGTCATCCTCAACAAGATTCCTAGAACAGCTTGCGTTGTTGAAGCTGGGGCTTTGGGAGGCCAACCGCCTTGGCACACGCAATCATCCTCAACAAGATTCCTAGAACAGCTTGCGTTGTGGAAGCCGGGGCTTTGGGTGGCCAATCGCACTGGCGCACGCAATCATCCTCAACAAGATTCCTAGAACAGCTCGCGTTGTTGAAGCTGGGGCTTTGGAAGGCCAAGCGCGTTGGCACACGCAGTCATCCGCAACAAGATTCCTAGAACAGCTTGCGTTGTTGAAGCTGGGGCTTTGGGAGGCCAATCGCATTGGCACACGCAATCATCCTCAACAAGATTCCTAGAACAGCTTGCGTTGTGGAAGCCGGGGCTTTGGGTGGCCAATCGCACTGGCGCACGCTTGAAAAACACGTATCTTCAACAAGTGCTTGTAATACGTATTAGGCTAAGGCCGACAGTCTGCTTAACACATCAATTGGTTTCAACGGCCTGCTTTTCAGGCTGAGGCCTAGGTGGGTTGCGGCTGCACGTTTTCTTTCTTTTCGGACTCGTTTTAGACTCGTTTTTGGACTCGTTTTTTTCCTGGGTAAACTTGCCAAAAACTTAACACAAGGCACCTCCTACTACTGCTACTACTACTACTACTACACCACGACTACTACTACTACTACTGCTTCTGCTACTACTACTACTACTACTACTACTACTACTACTACTACTACTACTACTACTACTACTACTACTGCTACTGCTACTGCTACTGCTACTGCTACTACTACTACTACTACTACTCCTGCTGCTGCTGCTGCTACTACTACTACTATTACTACTACTACTACTCCTGCTGCTGCTGCTGCTGCTGTGCTACTACTACTACTACTACTACTACTACTACTACTACTACTACTACTACTACTACTACTACTACTACTACTACTACTACTACTACTACTACTACTACTACATATATATATATATGTTTAAACAGTGCTCGGTTGCGGTTGGTTCTGCGATGTGCCATGGGGGTTGCTTGTACTTGGCGCTTCGAGAAATGTGTTCAAGATGTTTGGTTGCCTTTGGGTATGCATGCCATGGGGATTGCCTTCACACTAGCACATGAACTTGTGTTTGAAAGAATTGTTTCAGTGTTGTTGAGCATGCGATGTGCCATGGGGATTGCCTTCTTTTCGGCGAGCAAGCATACATAGTCAAGGAACATTTCGGTCCCAACTGGTATGTGATGTGCCATGCTGGTTGCCTTCTTACTCATACTTAGACATGTGTGCTTCAAATGCGTTTAAGCGCCTTGTAATATGCAATGTGCCACGGGCATTGCGTCCGTAGTGGCGCTCAAGCAAAGCAGTTTCAGGAGACACGTTGCGGTTGATTATGCAACGTGCCATGGGGGTTGCCTTCATTTTTGTGCTTCGAAAAGGTGTTTTCAAGATGTGTTTGGTTGCTTTTGGGTATGCTTGTGCCATGGGGATTGCCTTCGTACTAGCACATGAACTTGTTTTTGCAAGAATTGTTTCGATGCTGTTGAGCATGCGATGTGCCATGGGGATTGCCTTCTTATTGGCGAGCAAGCACACATAGTCAAGCAACATTTCGGTCCCAACTGGTATGCGATGCGCCATGCTGGTTGCCTTCTTACTCATGCTTAGACATCCTTGACACCCGTCCGATCGCAATTTTGGAGGCCATACCGCTCACGACCTTAATTGCCCCCGGTCGAGGTCATACGGGATTTTCGAGGTCATTGCATTTTCACGATTCTCACGGCCTGCAAATTTGTTAAGATTCTGGCAGCGTCGTAAAATATCAAAGGGGCCTGCAAAAGGCCCTGCGTGATTGCGCGTCGCGAAATCTCAAGGTAAACGTTGCACGAGCAGCAGTAAGCCGGATCCGACGCGTTGTCATACAGAGGCTGCGGCAACAAGCGCCCGGACAAGTTATAGAAATAGACCCCCGTTTGGGCTCCGCGCCGAAGTGACCGGTTTGAGCTGCGCAAAGTTTCTGTGCGCCGCCCCTTCGAAAGCGGGCTTGGCCCGAAAATCGCACTGCCCAGCGCCAAAGATGTACTTCCAAAATCCTGGCTCGAAAGTTGCATCTTTTCGTCATCAACCAAGCGCACTTGAATCACGGCCGCAGCCCGGCTCGAAAGACGGAACTAGTTCTTCCCTGGGGGGTAAAAGGCTTTTAAAACAAAGGTCGTTACATGAACATCCTTTGTTTGACTAGCTGGGGGATGGGGGC